CCTTACTACTGGGGGCTTCACGGACTGTGCAGTCCTGGGTCCAGGGCCCTTTTCCCTTAGCCTTCCTCTGGTTCTTGGTGCTCTAAACAGAAGATACAATCCCCTCCCAGTAAGAATAACTCCAGGGGGCTGGAAAGATAGCTCAGCAAGTAAGGGCTCTTGATGCCAAGCCTGAAAGACCTAAGTTCAATCCCCAAGACCTACATGGTGGAAGACCAAGGAAATGACTCCTGCAAGTTGTCCTATGATCTACACACACACACACACACACACACACACACACACACAAACACACACACATTCTTTCTCAATAAGAAGAACCCCTGCCCTATCTTACCTTGTGTGTTTGAGAGAGGAGAAACAGGCAGGTGCCATCCCCGGACTGGGATAACCCTTGCTTTCCACAGGGTTCCACCCCCCAGGACTATGGCTTAGTTTAGTATTCTTGCCTTTGACCAATCCAGGCCATCACTCCTCCTCCTTGGGGGTAGGGTGAAGTGGAAGAAGGTAGCTAGAAGCTTCCTTAGTCTGTGTGATTGTCTGCTTACTCTTTTAGATCAAGCTTGGATGTTACCTCTTCTGGGAGATTCTTGAGCCCTCTTCCTACCAACTACTCTGTACTCGCCGAAAAATACAGATTTGATGAACAAAACACCTTAATGCTGATCATAACAGTCAGGTTTCCCTGCCAGAATAGAGCCACTCCAGGTATGAGACCTGCAGTTAACAGGATATGCTTTAGAGCCTTTTTTGAATAAGTTGCACGTAGGGGCTGGAGCCATGATGGCTCAGATGATAAAGTGTTTGCTATACAGGCATGAAGAAGTGAATTTGGATCCCTAGCACCCATGTAAAAAGCCAGGCATAATGTGCATACCTGTAATGCTGACAGAGACAGGAGGATCCTGGGGGCTTGCTGGCCAGCACCAGGCTGACAGTGAACAACCTGTCTCAAAAATTAAGGAGAAAATTGATGGAGGAAAATACCTGATGTTGACTTCTCATCTCCACATACACCTGCACACATGTGTGCATGTACACATGCATACACCATACACAATTGCATGTAAAATGTTCATATATATCTATACATGCACTTTTAAAACCCATGGATGACATCGGAGTATACTGATTTTGAGGGTAGGGGTGTTGGGATGGAACCCAGGACTTTGTGCATGCTACACCCCACAGAATTGTTAACTTAATCCTTGGGAAAGTTTCATCCAATCCTGAGTGCTCTAAATTTGGCAAGTGGTTTACTTCTGAGAGTGTTCAGGACAGAGATGAATCAGTCTCAGCCCTGGTCCTCAAGCAACATGTCTTGGGAGATAGAAACCATCTACAAAGTGAATATGAAATGATATGACATGTACAGAATGGCAGAGGGAACTTGGAGAAAGGCACCTGAGTGAGCAGAGAAGATTCGTGCTGTCAGGCATCCAGCACTGAGAGTTTAATGATGCCTTCGGACATTCATATTCAAATTATATCCTGTGGTTTGACCCAAAGATTCTTGTGCTATACCCACCTGGGCTTCCTCATGTGGTAAGTGAGTGGTAAGGCAAGGGCTGGCTCAGCTGGGACTGTTGGGCCTTGCTCCTGAGCTGCTATTCTCAGGGCTCCAAGGGTGGGATCTGGAACTTGCATAACAATATTTCAGTTACCAGTTAGTCTGTCAGAGTATCACAAGACTACCCCAGATGAAAGCGGTAGAGTTCCAGAAATTCATGGTGATATTTAACCTATCACACGGGATCTAGAGTTGGTAAGGGGTTTCCACAGCAGACAAGGAGAGACGTAAAAAGTTGAGGGTGTGTAGGGCAGAGGAACAGGAGAGGGAACAGAAGGCACTCAAGCTTTACCATGGATAGCTATTAGGCCTGAAGGTACAAAGAAAGGGGAGTGGGATGCTTCAGCATCCCTTGAATGTCATGCCTGGACTTTTACCAGATTCTTTGACAAAACTCATGTTAAGTCCTTATCTGTTCTCAAGAGTCCACTGTAGCAGCCCACATTGGAGGCAAAGTCCACAAAAAGGAGGTAGCCCAGAGGCCAGGGGATGGGGATAGGGCCCAGGATGAGTAGGTGGGGTCTGTCAGAATGGCAGGGTCGGCATCCTCATGGCTTGATGACTTACTGGAGGTTCTATGAGGGCATTCACATATCAGGTTCTTTGTACTTCTTAAGAGTGCCTCTGAGAATCTGCATTAGAACAGTGAGGGCTGAGGAGGAGAGGGAGGCAGGGAGAGAGGGGAGGGAGGGGCTGAGTGTAGGTTTCAGATGGGATGTGTCCAGAGGAGTGTGTGTGTGTGTGTGTGTGTGTGTGTGTGTGAGAGAGAGAGAGA